TTAATTTGAAAAAAGACAAAATTTGAACTTAATTGAATATTTTCTGTGTTCCGTATGGGCACTGGTCACATTCGATGTGGTCATTTTTCAACTTAAATAATTTTAATAATTCAGTTTTAAACATTATTTCAGCATTAAAATTAATTAAATTTTTAAACAGTGATAGTTTTAAATCATTCTCCAATTAAAATTATATTTTAATATTAAGAAAACGCAGCAATTTGTATTAGATTTTCTATATTGAACCAAAAAAGAATTTCTAATATTAGCAAATTTCAATTTATTTAGGTGATTAAACAACTAAAAAATATAATTTAATTTGAAAAAAGACATAATTTGAACTTAATTGATTACTTTCTATGCTCTGTATGGGCGCTGGTCACATTCGGTGTGGTCATTTTTCAACTTAAATAATTTTAATAATAATGCTTTAAACATTATTTCAGCATTAAAATTAATTTTTTAAGTTCTTGTATTAGCAATTTTCAATTTAATTAAGTGTCTAAACAACTAAAAAATAAAATTTAATTTGATAAAAGACATAATTTGAACTTAATTGATTATTTTCTATGCTCTGTATGGGCACTGGTCACATTCGGTGTGGTCATTTTTCAACTTTAATAATTTTAATAATTGAATTTTAAACATTATTTCAGCATTAAAATTAATTAAATTTTTAAACAGTGATAGTTTTAAATCATTCTCCAATTAAAATTAAATTTTTATATTAAAAATATGCTCCAATTTGTATTAGATTTTGTATATTGAACTAAAAAATAAGTTCTTGTAATAGCAAATCTTAATTTAATTAAGTGTCTAAACAACTAAATAATATAACTTAATTTGAAAAAAGTCATAATTTGAACTTAATTGATTACTTTCTATGCTCTGTATGGGCACTGGTCACATTCGGTGAGGTCATTTTTCAACTTAAATAATTTTAATAAATAAGTTTTAAACATTATTTCAGCATTAAAATTAATTAAATTTTTAAACAGTGACATTTTTAAATCATTCTCGCAATTAAAAATAAATTTTAATTCAATTTTAAAATTTTAATATTAAGAAAATGTCGCAATTTGTATTAGATTTTGCATATCGAACTAAAAAATAATTTCTGGTATCAGCAAATTTCAATTTAAATAGGTGTTTAAACTGCTTGAAAACATAATTCAATTTGAAAAAAGTCATAATTTGAACTTAATTGATTATTTTCAATGCTCTGTATGGGCACTGGTCACATTCGGTGTGGTCATTTTTCAACTTAAATAATTTTAATAATTTAGTTTTAAACGTTATTTCAGCATTAAAATTAATTAAATTTTTAAACAGTGATAGTTTTAAATCATTCTCGCAATTAAAAATAAATTTGAATTCAAATTTAAAATTCTAATAATAAGAAAATGCTGCAATTAGTATTAGTTATTGTATATAGAACTTAAAAATAAGATCTGTTATTTGCAAATTTCAATTCAATAAAGTGTTTAAACTACTAAAGAATTTTATGTGTAATTGTTGTTAACGAATAAAAATTATAAAAATAGATTCATTCGCAACAGATTCGTTTATACTAACTCCAAGTCACAACCAAAAAAAAGTTTTCTAACAAAGGCTTATACTTTTGGATCTAAAATTCTTGGATTTGTTATTGTTTTCTTTAGATTTCTTTGATGAGTAATCTTTATGCATTTTATATGTTTTATTTCTCACAGAAATTTTATGATATCCTTGGTTTATAGTAATAATTTTAGTTTTATTTATAGTTTCTTACAGCAAATTTTTTTTTTTTCATTTTTCTTTATTGGAAAAATGCATAATTCCATTATTTAGGAGTAACTAATGAAGTATTCATCAGAGTATGTAATTTAATAATTTTCCAAAAAATTAATCTCAGAATTAGCAACTAAAATAGAAAATATTTTCTAAGTATATACCTTATTTTTATTTAATATTAAAATTATTGCAAGAAATAAACTTCATACACATTCGAGATTTTGTTGAAGAGTTGATTTCAATGCTACTGTAAATTTCTAATTTTTAATTTTTTCATTTGTGATACTCTTTATTGAACTTAATGAGATTAATCAAACATTGCTTAAGCTAACAGTAGCAAAAGTCTTCAAAAATAACAGAGCTTAAAATTTTTGGACAAAAAAGAAAGCCGAAATTAATTTCAACGTATAATCAGAATATGTCCGATTATATCGCATTGCATCGTATCATTCGTATATTGTAAATAAATAATTTTGCTTTCAGAATTTCATTTATACTAAAATAATTTTTATAATACAGCGAAATATTTCATTAATTAAAAATTTATTCATTCTGTAAAAGTTTAATTCCAGAGATTATTTGCAAAATATTATCACAGATGCACTAATTAATTAATTAATTAATTCTTCAATACGCTGTCGATTACAATGATCGCAGATAATTCTTTGAAATGAATGTTTTAAATATTTCAGTTATTCCATCTTCCATTATTTATACTACAGTACAAATTTTATGGTAAATAAAATTATTGCAATGAGGAAGTGTGATTGATTTGCAACGTTTAATTTAACAATGTAGAATTAAAAATTCATAATGATTTATAATTTTTCATAAATTTTATTTTAAATTCAGTGGAAGAATTCTTTCTACTAAATGAAGTTTGTAAAAACGTTTATCAACTATTTATCAACTAATTTGTAAAAACGTTTATCAACAATCATTTCTATAAAAAGGTTCTAAATTTGCCATAAAATAATAGGTATAAGAAAAGAATTATAATTGTCATTTAAATTCATCCAGAAAAAACAAGAAAATTGAATTATGAAATTAAATCGAATTGTTGAAAAAGGAGAATAATTTTAGATTGTTTCATTTAATTTTATTATGTGATCGGATGAATAAAATACAGAAAGTATTTTCTCTAAAATTAAATGAAACAATCTATACAAATGGTTAGCCAAGTAATCAAATAGAAACAATGCAAATATGTCAAATGAGCCAAATGTTGAGCCACGAAGAAAAAAAAAAGTTATATCGAATAAAATTTCAAATTTCTTAAACTTGATTTTCATTTCAATTTTTTTTACACCGTGACTGGTAATTTGATATTGGTACATTTTAGATAGTTGGCATTTATTGGCCAGCAAAAAAAAAAAGAAAAAAAAATTGAGCAGAGCAGTTCAACTATAAACTCTATACAATACGTACCAATAGCTCTAAAAAATTCCATAAACTAATTTAGGATAAAATTCTCTGAGATTTCCCACATTTATCATTATAATAAAACCGGATTAAATTACTTTCTGAAGCGATACAATCAAGCTAATTAATCCGAATTTCCTTGCCAAGGAATGACTTTCGACAAGAGAATACAAATATGCACTAATAGTACCAAAAGCAGCATCGATACTTCTCAAAATACCTAACCTGATAAGTCTTATGTTTTTGCATAAGCAGCGGCTATCCGAAAAAAAAAAATGACAAAAAATGCTATTTTTAATTCATAATTTTAATAATTCTATGTTTATAAATTACTGTTATTATTTCATTTCATTTTTTTTTTTTCGAATAATTTTAAAAACTTCCAAAGCATATCAACAAATAAAAGTAGAAATTGATTTTATTAATTGTATTTAGCAAAATTTCTCGAAAGAAAAAGAGTACGCCATCAAATCTAAGCACAGTCATATACAATTAAGTAAAATAATATAGGCCATTTGACAATTGTATGTTGTACGAAAACTTGGATATTTCCTGCAAGATTCAATCTTTCTTGTTTATCTGAAAAATTTCAAAGTCTCAAATTGGTTCAAATAATAATTAAACATTAAACAAATGTTGTTTGTTTCGTTTAGAAAAAAAAATGCTGCTTAATTAAGTAGTTAATTTTTTCAATTACTTAGATAGGATTATGAAAAAGGAAAGATGTTGTTGTTGTTGTTGTTATACTGAAAAAAATAAAAAAGAATAGCTTTGGGAAGAAAAAACATTCAAACAAATTGATCATTGATTGAATTAATTAATCTTTTCTTTATTAATTATTCACTCATCATAATTCTTTCACTTATACATCCTATCAAATCTCTCTTCTCTCTCTCTCGCGATATGTCTTAATTAGCCATATCTTATCACTAATCACTAATTCATACTGGATGATAATTTTTATTTCTTGTTTGCCATTAATTATTGCAAAGTGCATAAAAACAGTGATAAAAGATTAATAATTAAGTAATTTGGTATTACTAAATACAATTAATAAAACCAATTTGTATTCTCAATTTTTGCTAATTTTTTCACTCGAATACAAACTTTTACTTGCTTACTCGAATACAAACTATTCAATTGATCAATGATCATTGAATTTGTTAATATCTGTAACTTCTTTCTATTCATAAATATTCGCTGTGAATAATTTTCATTTTTGAAAGTACTGTCGTGAAACCTCAAACTTGGGTAATTAAACCTTTATTTAACATGAAGCAATAATAGCGCTTTATACATATTGTACGGATGCTACACCGTTTAACAAACGCGTAAACTATAAAAAATGCAATAATATAAAAATGGTGAAATAACACAAAATTATAAAGTATTAGACGCATCCCAATACCACCCAAAACATAAAGCAAATGATGGTATAGAAGGATTGGTTGGGTTATATATAAGACTGATTTAACGAATGGAGATTAGATGGGAGGATTTCTCATGGATGAACAAAGAAGATTGTTAACAGGATTAGTTTATATACAGAACTGAACTGACCAGATATTCGGCAGAGGAGGACATTTAAATGATATGAAACAAAGACTGCTAATAAAGGGTTTTGCTAACGAAGGGTTTGCTAACAAAGGGTTTTTGTTGTGCGAGGAAAAGGAATTAGATAAGAGGAATTTGTTAGTTTTGGATATAATAATTTAAATATTTCGTCTTTCACGACACTCCCGACCAGAAAAGGTAGGTAATGCGTGGGGTTCATAAGAAAGTGGGGCTTGTTTATTTCCATTGATCTATCCTTGATCGTGTAAATCTCTACAGGTTTCTGATGATGTTGCGGTGGTAGTTGTTTGGTTCTCCTTTAATCGAGATTGTCGTTTTGTATTGCTCCTAGTTCGCATCGCAATAGGTTCCTGGAGCTCCTCAGTGTTCTGTTCGGTTTCCGGAATTTTCATATTTTCTTTCTTATTAGGTTTAAGATGAATTTCTTCATCATTAACTTCGAGAGGATACAAGACATTTATTGGACGATCGAGAAGTTTCCCAGTGGGAGTTTCCACCTGAACGTTCCTAACTTTACCGTCTTTATCGATTTTGATGTCCTTGATCCGTAATAATTTCCACATTCCTCTTGGAATTCCCGCTTCATTTAAGAGTACAATCTCTCCCTTTCTTGGAGTTCTTTTTTGTGCTCCTTTGGATGAGGTAATTTCCCTTTGCGTGCGTTCTCTGAGGCTAGTTAAATATTCGGTTCTCCAGATTTCCCAAAAAACATTGAGAGTTTTAAGGGTACTTTCCCAGTGTCTCACGAGTTTTTCTCTGGTATCTAGTCTATAAGGGGTGAATTCTTCCTGCCTGCTATAAACTTCATTTATAGGTAGATGGAGCGAAGCGTTAGGCAAAATAAAATCAATTGGACGTATAATGACGCAATCGTCAAAATTGGCGTAAGTTAGTGGTCGGGTATTAAGTATACCTTCAACTTCTGCAATTAATGTTACCAATTCCCTTTCCGCTAGGAATTTTCTGCCAATGGCTCTTCTTAGCGCATTTTTCGTTAACCCAATTAATCTCTCGTAGATTCCTCCTTGCCACGGAGCCTTTGGTATAATATTTTTCCAAGTCATTCCTCCCTTTGCTAAGAAGTTGGAGACTTTGACTTGTGTCATAAGAGATCTGAAAGCCTGGAATTGAGTGGCATTGTCACTCAGAATTAGCTCAGGACACCCTCGTCTCGCAACAAATCTTCGGATAGCATGCAAAAAGATTTCTGCGGATTGGTCTTCTGCTAATTCGAGATGCATGGCTCTTGTTGTAAAGCATGTAAATAATATTACCCACCTTTTTGTTGACACGCTATTGCTCTTGATTGAAAGAGGGCCAAAATAATCCACGCCAACACGTGCGAAGGCTTTAGATCGATTGACACGAGTTTCCGGGAGACTTGCCATTGGTGGTAATTTAAACGATCTGGAGTTCCAACGTTTACAGATTCGACATCTGTTTATTATTCGCTTTACTTCAGTCCTGCCTTTGGGAATCCAAAATCTACTCCTTAATTCTGAAAGTGTATGGGCGATACCTGAATGACATAGATTTTCATGTTGGTGTAGTATAAGGAGTTCTGTTATTGGGTTGTGTCGAGGGAGATAGATAGGATATTTGCTAGTTTCAGGCAGTTCCGAGTTCACGAGTCGACTAGTAGATCTCCATAATCTATCATCTTCGGTGTGGAATAAATTCCACTTGTTTATTTCGTCGTCATTGATTCCTTCAGATTGTGCTTGTCTAATTAACAGCCATTCTGACACTTTGTAATCTTCAGCTGTAAATCGATTTCTTTCGATTGAAACAGACTGTAGCCATGATAATCTGCCTTTAGTTGTTAATCGAATGAATTTAAGGATCCACGCTGTTGTTCGTAACAGTCTTAGCCATTTGCTAAAACGTTTGCTATCAATAAATTGAAAGTTATGATCCTTGAATATTCGCGAGACTTCTGATATAGTGATTTCTTCTGGTTCGTCATTGTTGGCAAATTCGTATTCCCATTGTGGCCAACTGATTTCTCCTTTTACTAGCCACGACGGTCCATGCCACCATGGTGTAAAACTTCTAAGTTGTTTTGGATTAAGACCTCTAGTTGCCACGTCTACAGGGTTATCTGCTGATGGAATATAACGAAAAATAAATTTCGCTTTACGTATTTCCTCGACTCGATTTTGAACAAATCTTGGTAATAGGTTAGAATGGTTTTTTATCCAATGTAAAGCACATTTAGAATCCGACCATAAAATTATCCTTGTATTGACGATATCCAGCTGTGTCATGACAAATTGCGCTGCTCGCGTTCCGATTAGTATGGCCATTAGCTCTAGACGCGGTATTGTCATACCTTTAATAGGAGCAATGCGAGATTTTGCAAAAATGAGCGATGACTTTGTCTGTATGGGCACAGGTCACATTCGATGTGATCATTTTTCAACTTAAATAATTTTAATAATTGAGTTTTAAACATTATTTCAGCATTAAAGTTATTTTTTGAGTTCTTGTATTAGCAAATTTCAATTTATTTAGGTGTCTAAACAACTAAAAAATATAATTTAATTTGAAAAAAGACATAATTTGAACTTAATTGAATATTTTCTGTGTTCCGTATGGGCACTGGTCACATTCGATGTGGTCATTTTTCAACTTAAATAATTTTAATAATTGAGTTTTAAACATTATTTCAGCATCAAAATTAATTTTTTAAGTTCTTGTATTAGCAATTTTCATTTTAATTAAGTGTCTAAACAACTAAAAAATATAATTTAATTTGAAAAAAGACATAATTTGAACATAATTGAATATTTTCTGTGCTCTGTATGGGCACTGGTCACATTCGATGTGGTCATTTTTCAACTTAAATAATTTTATTAATTATGCTTTAAACATTATTTCAGCATTAAAATTAGTTAAATTTATAAACAGTGATAGTTTTAAATCATTCTTGCATTTAAAAATAAATTTTAATTCAAATTTAAAACGTTAATATTAAAAATATGTTCCAATTTGTTTTAGTTTTTGTATATCGAACTAAAAAATAATTTCCGGTATCAGCAAATTTCAATTTAATTAAGTGTCTAAACAACAAAAAATATAATTTAAATTGAAAAAAGACATAATTTGAACTTAATTGATTACTTTCTATGCTCTGTATGGGCACTGGTCACATTCGGTGTGGTCATTTTTCAACTTAAATAATTTTAATAAATAAGTTTTAAACATTATTTCAGCATTAAAATTAATTTTTTAAGTTCTTGTATTAACAATTTCCAATTTAATTAAGTGTCTAAACAGCAAAAAATATAATTTAAATTGAAAAAAGACATAATTTGAACTTAATTGATTATTTTCTATCCTCTGTATGGGCACTGGTCACATTCGGTGTGGTCATTTTTCAACTTAAATAATTTTAATAATTATGCTTTAAACATTATTTCAGCATTAAAATTAATTAAATTATTAAACAGTGATAGTTTTAAATCACTTTCGCAATTAAAAATAAATTTGAATTCAAATTTAAAATTTTAATATTATTGCAATTAGTATTAGTTATTGTATATAGAATTTGAAAATAAGTTCTAGTATTAACAATTTTCAATTTAATTAGGTGTTAAAACTGCTTAAAAATATTATTTAATTTGAAAAAAGACATAATTTGAACTTAATTGATTATTTTCTATGTTCTGTATGGGCACTGGTCACATTCGGTGTGGTCATTTTTCAACTTAAATAATTTTAATAATTGAGTTTTAAACATTGTTTCAGCATTAAAATTAATTAAATTTTTAAACAGTGATAGTTTTAAATCATTCTTTAATTAAAATTAAATTTTAGTTCAGATTTAAAATTTTAATATTATTGCAATTAGTATTAGTTATTGTATATAGAATTTGAAAATAAGTTCTAGTAATAGCAAATTTCAATTTAATTAAGTGTATAAACAACTAAATAATATAACTTAATTTGAAAAAAGTCATAATTTGAACTTAATTGATTACTTTCTATGCTCTGTATGGGCACTGGTCACATTCGGTGTGGTCATTTTTCAAATTAAATAATTTTAATAATTGAGTTTTAAACATTATTTCAGCATTAAAATTAATTAAATTTTTAAACAGTGATAGTTTTAAATCATTTTCGCAATTAAAAATAAATTTGAATTCAAATTTAAAATTTTAATATTAAGAAAATGCGGCAATTTGTATTAGATTTTCTATATTGAACTAAAAAATAAGTTCTTGTATTAGCAATTTTCAATTTAATTAAGTGTCTAAACAACTAAAAAATATAATTTAAATTGAAAAAAGACATAATTTGAACTTAACTGAATATTTTCTGCGCTCTGTATGGGCACTGGTCACATTCGGTGTGGTCATTTTTCAACTTAAATAATTTTAATAATTGAGTTTTAAACATTATTTCAGGATTAAAATTATTTAAATTTTTAAACAGTGATATTTTTAAATCATTCTCGCATTTAAAAATAAATTTTAATTCAAATTTAAAACGTTAATATTAAAAAAATGTTCCAATTTGTTTTAGTTTTTGTATATCGAACTAAAAAATAAGTTCTAGTAATAGCAAATTTCAATTTAATTAAGTGTCTAAACAGCAAAAAATATAATTTAAATTGAAAAAAGACATAATTTGAACTTAATTGATTATTTTCTATCCTCTGTATGGGCACTGGTCACATTCGGTGTGGTCATTTTTCAACTTAAATAATTTTAATAATTGAGTTTGAAACATTATTTCAGCATTAAAATTAATTTTTTAAGTTCTTGTATTAACAATTTCCAATTTAATTAAGTGTCTAAACAGCAAAAAATATAACTTAATTTGAAAAAAGTCATAATTTGAACTTAATTGATTACTTTCTATGCTCTGTATGGGCACTGGTCACATTCGGTGAGGTCATTTTTCAACTTAAATAATTTTAATAAATAAGTTTTAAACATTATTTCAGCACTAAAATTAATTAAATTTTTAAACAGTGACATTTTTAAATCATTCTCGCATTTAAAAATAAATTTTAATTCAAATTTAAAATTTTAATATTAGGAAAATGCGGCAATTTGTATTAGATTTAGTATTTTGAACTAAAAAAGAAGCTCTGGTATAAGCAAATTTTAATTTAATTAAGTGTCTAAACAACTAAAAAATATAATTTAATTTGAAAAAAGACATAATTTGAACTTAATTGAATATTTTCTGTGCTCTGTATGGGCACTGGTCACATTCGATGTGGTCATTTTTCAACTTAAATAATTTTAATAATTATGCTTTAAACATTATTTCAGCATTAAAATTAATTAAATTATTAAACAGTGATAGTTTTAAATCACTTTCGCAATTAAAAATAAATTTGAATTCAAATTTAAAATTTTAATATTATTGCAATTAGTATTAGTTATTTTATATAGAATTTGAAAATAAGTTCCAGTAATAGCAAATTAAAATTTAGTTAAGTGTTTAAACAACTAAATAATATAACTTAATTTGAAAAAAGACATAATTTGAACTTAATTGATTATTTTCTATTCTCTGTATGGGCACTGGTCACATTCGGTGTGGTCATTTTTCAACTTAAATAAATTTAATAAATAAGTTTTAAACATTATTTCAGCATTAAAATTAAATAAATTTTTAAACAGTGATATTTTTAAATCATTCACGCATTTAAAAACAAATTTTAATTCAAATTTAAAATTTTAATATTAAGAAAATGCCGCAATTTGTTTTTTTTTGTATATTGAACTAAAAAATAATTTCCGGTATCAGCAAATTTCAATTTAATTAAGTGTCTAAACAACAAAAAATATAATTTAAATTGAAAAAAGTCATAATTTGAACTTAATTGATTACTTTCTATGCTCTGTATGGGCACTGGTCACATTCGGTGTGGTCATTTTTCAACTTAAATAATTTTAATAATTGAGTTTGAAACATTATTTCAGCATTAAAATTAATTTTTTAAGTTCTTGTATTAACAATTTCCAATTTAATTAAGTGTCTAAACAGCAAAAAATATAACTTAATTTGAAAAAAGTCATAATTTGAACTTAATTGATTACTTTCTATGCTCTGTATGGGCACTGGTCACATTCGGTGAGGTCATTTTTCAACTTAAATAATTTTAATAAATAAGTTTTAAACATTATTTCAGCACTAAAATTAATTAAATTTTTAAACAGTGACATTTTTAAATCATTCTCGCATTTAAAAATAAATTTTAATTCAAATTTAAAATTTTAATATTAGGAAAATGCGGCAATTTGTATTAGATTTAGTATTTTGAACTAAAAAAGAAGCTCTGGTATAAGCAAATTTTAATTTAATTAAGTGTCTAAACAACTAAAAAATATAATTTAATTTGAAAAAAGACATAATTTGAACTTAATTGACTATTTTCTATGCTCTGTATGGGCACTGGTCACATTCGGTCAACTTAAATAATTTTAATAAATAAGTTTTAAACATTATTTCAGCATTAAAATTAATTAAATTTTTAAACAGTGATAGTTTTAAATCATTCTTTAATTAAAATTAAATTTTAGTTCAGATTTAAAATTTTAATATTATTGCCATTAGTATTAGTTATTTTATATAGAATCTGAAAATTAGTTCCAGTAATAGCAAATTAAAATTTAGTTAAGTGTTTAAACAACTAAATAATATAACTTAATTTGAAAAAAGGCATAATTTAAACTTAATTGAATATTTTCTATGCTCTGTATGGGCACAGGTCACATTCGATGTGGTCATTTTTCAACTTAAATAATTTTAATAATTGAGTTTTAAACATTATTTCAGCATTAAAGTTATTTTTTGAGTTCTTGTATTAGCAAATTTCAATTTATTTAGGTGTCTAAACAACTAAAAAATATAATTTAATTTGAAAAAAGACATAATTTGAACTTAATTGAATATTTTCTATCCTCTGTATGGGCACTGGTCACATTCGGTGTGGTCATTTTTCAACTTAAATAATTTTAATAATTGAGTTTGAAACATTATTTCAGCATTAAAATTAATTTTTTAAGTTCTTGTATTAACAATTTCCAATTTAATAAAGTGTCTAAACAGCAAAAAATATAACTTAATTTGAAAAAAGTCATAATTTGAACTTAATTGATTACTTTCTATGCTCTGTATGGGCACTGGTCACATTCGGTGAGGTCATTTTTCAACTTAAATAATTTTAATAAATAAGTTTTAAACATTATTTCAGCACTAAAATTAATTAAATTTTTAAACAGTGACATTTTTAAATCATTCTCGCATTTAAAAATAAATTTTAATTCAAATTTAAAATTTTAATATTAGGAAAATGCGGCAATTTGTA